ATCCAAAAGTAAACTGCTGTTAACTTGTCCCCACGCTGTGTTTTGTAACAGTGATGGGTTAGTATCAGCGACGTGCAGTCAGAGCCTCACCTGTCATACTCCAATGTAACGGGAAAAACAACTAAAGAAAAACGAAAAAGTAATAATAAAATGTCTCCACTGATCTGTTTTGTAAGTGTGATTTCTGTTTGATTCCAATCGCTTTTTATAGTCAAAATCAGCAAATTTGCTGAGCTCCGCTACAACTACGGGTAGCGATGAGGAGTAGAGGCAGGGACGAGCTCTGCCTCTCGTAAGCCCACAGTAACTGGCTGGAGCGCGGGCACTCATTTAGCGCGAGCACTTATTTTGTGAGCACGCTCAAGCCAGTTACTGTGTGGTGAGGTGAGGCACAGATGAGCTCTGCCTCACCTCAGGTGCGTCACTGCACAGTAACTGGCTGGAGCGCGGACACTAAGCGCATGCCTGCAGCATCTCACTGTATGTCACACATGTAATGTTTGTAGATCCCTTTATTACATGTGTCCATATCCATAGTCTCTCTTAAGCAATTTCAAATGTTGTTTCCTTCTGAAGAAGGATGGAAAGGACAAGGACCCTACTGACCAGAAGCTTTTACAACTAGCAGAGGATGGTTTGATCCATCAGAAGCTTATATATAAACATCTAAATAGTTTGACCACTGTCATTATTTATATTAAAAAGATGTGTAATAAGACATGTTAGAAATCAAATGCTCTACAACAGGTTAATAACACGGTCCATTAAAGTAACAGGAGACGGCAGCATTTTAACAGGTTTATTAAAAACACACACACACACACACACTCCGCTTCACTTCTTCTTCACCACCGTCCAGCCGTCCTCTTCCTCAGGAGGGTCTGCTTTCCTGCTGACTGACGGAGCGGAGGGTTCACACTCCATCACCTGAACACACACACACTTTAGAATAGTAAGGTCCGTCTGATGTGTGTGGATTATACAGTAAACTCAGACAGAAGCAGTCGAGTGTAGAGACTTCAGTGTGTGTAAGACAAACCTGAGGTTCTTCATCCTCCTCATCTTCATCAGACTGAGGGGGGGGGCCCGTGACCTTTGCCCTCTCACTCTTCTTCTGAGACAAGGAGTCGATGGTGTTTCTGAGCGTTTGCAGCGCCCCCTGCTGCCACTGAGAGAACATCTGCAGCAGAGCGTCACACAGCTGCCACACACACACACATTATTACACACACAGTATTATATCACTAACTGTATACTGTGTACTACACATATAAACATAGTGTATTTCATGATATTTCCTTCAATTTCGAACATATACTATAATTATTGTCCAATAATAATAGTAATAATAGTGTGTGTGTGTGTGTGTGTGTGTGTGCGTGTGCGTGTGTGCGTGTGCGTGTGTGTGCGTGTGTGTGTGTGTGTACCTGAGGTAAACTCCCGTCCTCTACCACTGTGTTGAACTCTTGGTTCATGATGTCGGACAGGAAGTCTTCAACTTCTCCGCGCTGCAGGTCGGCTGCTCAGGAAACATTTATAATTGATATATTTTACGTGCAGTTCAGGGTTTCCGTTAGCCGGTAATTACCGGTTTTTAGCTGGTAAAATGTATTAAAAACCGGTAAATTCAAAACCTGCCGGTCAAAATGTCTGGTAATAATTAGGGAGGCTCCGGTAGATCGGCCGCCGGTCATTATCGGCCGATATTCACTGTTAATAGTTTGATCGGTGCTCTCAATAAAGGCCGATCAGGAGAGCTGGATCTGATCGATATGGACATAAACGCGAGTGAAGTATAACCGGACAAGCGAGAGAGATCAGATCAGCTGCTGAGTCTGATGGAGACACGCAGCTCTGCATGATCACCTGAAGCCCCGCCTCTGTTTAGCTGCAGGAGAAACTGACGGGCTGTCAGAGAGAGAGAGAGAGAGAGAGAGAGAGAGAGAGAGAGGGAGAGGGGAAAAGAGAGGATCCATTTCTCCCGTGTTATTATTCAAAGTTAATGTAAACTTTTGAATAATGTACGTTATCTACTACAAGTAGTTTGTTTGAATGTAATAATTTTGTTGTTTGTGGAATAATTTATTGGAAAATGAATCTGAACTTTTCGATCTGTAACGATTATAAACTGAAGCAATATAAAAATGAGACCATTAACTGAGTTTTAAACATCAGCATATCTGCTCATAGTCCGGTAATTACCTGCTAACGGAAACTCTGCTACACAACTCTTATTATTATTATTGAAATATGACCGGTAAGTTTCAAATTTGTCCGATAAAATAAATTCTGCCCGGACATTTGACCGGCGAGAAAAAATCCTGACGGATACCCTGGTGCAGTTATTTAACATGTCGATAAATAAGCCGTTGTTGTGACCACCTATTAATACACTGGTTCATAATTCATACATGGAACTACAGTTGGGGGTATTGTTCCCACACGGACATGTTATGTGTTTTCTAATGTTGTGTGCCCTCCTGACTTCACTCTCTTCTTCCCGGACTGCAACCGGACAACATGACCTAATAAAGTACCCTTTTGCACCTTCCTTGCACCGCCTCTGACTCCCTATCTCTCGGCACTACACCGTTAAATATTAACTTGTTGACAGTTTTGATAAATAAATGTTACCATGGTTACTTACCGTTGTCATGGAAAAACTGCTGCACCACATCCACCATCCAATCAGCTTTCTGCGTCCCGTACACGCCTCCAAACCCATTATCCACCGCGATCTACGCACGCACGCACGCACACACACACACACACACGCACACGCACACAATAATATATACAGTAGCAGTACTCTACCCTCTTGCACCTCATTTAGCTGTTCTTCTTGTTATGTGTTGCCTTTGCTTGTAAAGCGGATGGAGCACCAGATCAAGTATTATTGTTATTAAGAAAGACCGGAATGGCCTTATAAGGGTTCTGGTGAAGAGCTTGTTGTTTAAAGAGCTAACAGCCCGATGCTAACAGGCTAGCTGTTAGACCCGCAGCGACACTTTCTGTCTGTCTAACTGTCTGTCTGCTCGGGTTATATCTGTCTGTCTGCTCGGGTTATATCTACCTGTCTGTCTGCTCGGGTTATATCTACCTGTAGAACCGGCCAGCTGAGCAGCACCTGTCTCACCGCCTCAGAGAACAGAACACGTGATGCTGCGGGGGTCGCCATGTTGGATCACTCAGACAGAAGCAGTCGATCACATACTCCATTCACACTTCAAGCTCCGTGCTAGAGCTTTTCAGGCAGAAGCAGCAGAGTGAAGAGACAACATGTCCCGATGTCCAACAGTAGCCTCATCCCAATACCCCTCCTCGAGTCCTCCTTTCCCTCACTCGCGTCCCTTCCTTGCATCTTAGCTCCGCCTCCGTAAGATGCGAGCGAGGGACACGAGGAGGTGACGCGAGGACAGAGGAGTCCTCAGGTATTAATTGGGATGTCCTCGTTCACTCAAACGTCACTCTTAAACGACGTATGTTAATGATGACGTGCACAGCTGTATCCCCTCTTATCGGGCTGACTGAATAACCCTTTAGAACCGGCCCATTTGTTGTTAAATATTTATTTAAATTAATGAATCTTTCTCTTGTTAGTCACAGAATTCAATGTATGATGGTTGGTCCTGCTTTTGTGTTCCGTGTTGGTGTGAAATGTAGCCTACATTTAAATAAAAATATAATTATAGTAATGAAAGCCTTTTAGAAATGAATTGCACATAATCATTCCCACGGAGCTGTGAGCACTTATACATTTATGTGACGCTTTTCCACTCATCTTCCAGTTGTGGGTTTCCTCTGTTGAAATGGACCAGCTGTGAAGGTGGGGGCGGGGCTTTTATACGTGAGTAGTGAAAACACTTCCACTAGTCTGCTCATGTGTATCCTCCATTTCGTCTCATCCCGCACCCCTCCTCCCGCACCCCTCCTCGACTCCTCCATGTGCATTTCAGCTATTGGGACGTCCTTCAAAATGGCGTGTCTTGATCGATTTCCGGGTCAAGTCCCGGAGGAGGGGAAGAGAGGAGTCGAGGAGGGGTATTGGGATGAGGCTAGTGTGTGACTCAAGATCAAAGGTGTTATCATCGTTTGCTCAGCAGCTACAGTGTATAGAAGCAATGCAGTTCTTCTGACCTGAGCTCCTCCAACAATGCAACATATCATAACATACAAAATAGTGCAAGAAGTCTATAAACATGTAAATAGAATATGATATGTACAAGAACAGAATATTAAATTAAATACGGTTTATTACGGTGAAAACTTTATATAAATAATATGCAAGATGAAAACAGGAATGTTTATGGATGTTCTTCACAGAGTTCAGGTGTTTAATAGTCTTATTGTGAGATGAAACTGACTGAGTCTGGTGGTTTAGTCTTGATGACAGACGGGGTGATCTGTCTCTGAGTATGGTGGTTTAGACCTGATGCCGTACAGGGGGTGATCCGTCTCTGAGTCGGGTGGTTTAGACCTGATGCCAGACAGGGGGTGATCCGTCTCTGAGTCTGGTGGTTTAGTCCTGATGCCAGACGGGGGGTGATCTGTCTCTGAGTCTGGTGGTTTAGACCTGATGCCAGACAGGGGGTGATCTATCTCTGAGTCTGGTGGTTTAGACCTGATGCCAGACGGGGGGTGATCTGTCTTTGAGTCTGGTGGTTTAGACCTGATGCCAGACGGGGGGTGATCTGTCTCTGAGTCTGGTGGTTTAGATCTGATGCCAGACGGGGGGTGATCTGTCTCTGAGTCTGGTTGTTTAGACCTGATGACAGACGGGGTGATCTGTCTCTGAGTCTGGTGGTTTAGACCTGATGCCAGACGGGGGGTGATCTGTCTTTGAGTCTGGTGGTGATCTGTCTCTGAGTCTGGTATTTTAGATCTGATGCCAGACGGGGGGTGATCTGTCTCTGAGTCTGGTGGTGATCTGTCTCTGAGTCTGGTATTTTAGATCTGATGCCAGACGGGGGGTGATCTGTCTCTGAGTCTGGTGGTTTAGACCTGATGCCAGATGGGGGGGTGATCTGTCTCTGAGTCTGGTGGTGATCTGTCTCTGAGTCTGGTATTTTAGATCTGATGCCAGACGGGGGGTGATCTGTCTCTGAGTCTGGTGGTTTAGACCTGATGCCAGACGGGGGGTGATGGGGGTCAGTGTGTGGATTAGGTAGACAGACAGGAAAGGGTGTGATTGGGTGTTTGTCGTCACTCCAACAGCAAAGGACCGTTAGGGGCGTCTACGTTGACCACAGTTGATTTGAGCGCGTAAACACAGCGCATGTGAAAGGTGCCTCATGTTACTGCAAAGGTTGCTTTTCCTCAGACAGAAAGTGTTCCGGTGCGTTCCGCCCTGCGAAACGGATCTGCACCCGCTACTGCTCTGTATGAATGGTGATATCTGTGCCCTATATACATCCATCCATCATCCATCAATCAATCTAACGATCAAAAAACACAGTTCTGAATTCTGGCACTCAAATTTATTTACAACAGTTAACAGAGCAGCAGCTACAAAACAACAAAACCCTGCAGAATACTAACAAACCTTCGGGTACAGGAAACTTAACGACCTCGTTAAGGAGGGTACAGGAAACTTAACGACCTCGTTAAGGAGGGTACAGGAAACTTAACGACCTCGTTAAGGCAGGTACAGAAGAACATGTTGGCTCCGCCCCCTGTTCAGTGATTGGTGGATGAGGGTGTGTCAGAAACTCTGACAGTCTCTAGTCTGCTTCCTGTTTCCATGTAAACACTCCTGTCCAACAGCCAATCAGTCGCTCTGATGTTTGGAGTTGAAGATCTTTGCTAGCAACGAGACGTTTGATTGGCTCTTCTGCTGTATGAGGCGGGCCTTGTCCAGGTGCTTCTGGGAAACGGAGTCTTTCTTTTTCCTCTTCCTCATCTGGATCTCCTCCTCCGTTTGACGCTGAGTGAAGTCCCACGTCCTATCGTCCACCTGACGACCAATCACAAGACAACAAACCATTGATACGGGTATGTTACAGGTGGGACAGGTGAGATATGGGTGTGTTACAGGTGGGACAGGTGAGATATGGGTGTGTTACAGGTGGGACAGGTGAGATATGGGTGTGTTACAGGTGGGACAGGTGAGATACGGGGGTGTTACAGGTGGGACAGGTGAGATACGGTGTGTTACAGGTGGGACAGGTGAGATACGGGTGTGTTACAGGTGGGACAGGTGATATACGGGGGTGTTACATGTGGGACAGGTGAGATATGGGTGTGTTACAGGTGGGACAGGTGAGATACGGGTGTGTTACAGGTGGGACAGGTGACATACGGGTGTTTTACAGGTGGGACAGGTGAGATACGGGTGTGTTACATGTGGGACAGGTGAGATACGGGTGTGTTACAGGTGGGACAGGTGAGATACGGGTGTGTTACATGTGGGACAGGTGAGATATGGGTGTGTTACATGTGGGACAGGTGAGATATGGGTGTGTTACAGGTGGGACAGGTGAGATACGGGTGTGTTACATGTGGGACAGGTGAGATATGGGTGTGTTACATGTGGGACAGGTGAGATACGGGTGTGTTACATGTGGGACAGGTGAGATATGGGTGTGTTACAGGTGAGATACGGGTGTGTTACATGTGGGACAGGTGGGACAGGTGAGATATGGGTGTGTTACAGGTGGGACAGGTGTGTTACATGTGGGAAAGGTGAGATATGGGTGTGTTACAGGTGGGACCGGTGAGATATGGGTGTGTTACAGGTGGGACAGGTGAGATATGGGTATGTTACAGGTGGGACAGGTGAGATATGGGTGTGTTACAGGTGGGACAGGTGTGTTACATGTGGGAAAGGTGAGATATGGGTGTGTTACAGGTGGGACAGGTGAGATACAGGTGGGACAGGTGTTTTACAGATGAGACAGGTGTGTTATTGGTGTGTGTGTGCGCTCTTGGTTTACCTGCTGTCCGTCCCTCTGTCTCTTCCTCCTCACGGTGTCCAGGTGAGCGCTCCGGTCCACGTTGTTCAGGTAAAAGTTGGTCTCTCTTTTGGCCTGAGAAACCTCTGTCCTCAATCTCTGCTGCTGCACCGTCTGCTCAAAGGCCAGGCGCTCCGACAGGTGAGTCCACTGGAACCTGTGCAGGTACTGAGAGAGACAGACAGGTGAGAGACAGACAGGTGAGTCCACTGGAACCTGTGTAGGTACTGAGAGAGACAGACAGGTGAGTCCACTGGAACCTGTGCAGGTACTGAAAGAGACAGACAGGTGAGAGACAGACAGGTGAGTCCACTGGAACCTGTGCAGGTACTGAGAGAGACAGACAGGTGAGAGACAGACAGGTGAGTCCACTGGAACCTGTGCAGGTACTGAGAGAGACAGACAGTCGAGAGACAGACAGGTGAGTCCACTGGAACCTGTGCAGGTACTGTGAGAGACAGACAGGTGAGTCCACTGGAACCTGTGCAGGTACTGAGAGAGACAGACAGGTGAGAGACAGACAGGTGAGTCCACTAGAACCTGTGCAGGTACTGAGAGAGACAGACAGGTGAGTCCACTGGAACCTGTGCAGGTACTGAGAGAGACAGACAGGTGAGAGACAGACAGGTGAGTCCACTGGAACCTGTGCAGGTACTGAGAGAGACAGACAGGTGAGAGACAGACAGGTGAGTCCACTGGAACCTGTGCAGGTACTGAGAGAGACAGACAGTCGAGAGACAGACAGGTGAGTCCACTGGAACCTGTGCAGGTACTGTGAGAGACAGACAGGTGAGTCCACTGGAACCTGTGTAGGTACTGAGAGAGACAGACAGGTGAGTCCACTGGAACCTGTGCAGGTACTGAAAGAGACAGACAGGTGAGAGACAGACAGGTGAGTCCACTGGAACCTGTGCAGGTACTGAGAGAGACAGACAGGTGAGAGACAGACAGGTGAGTCCACTGGAACCTGTGCAGGTACTGAGAGAGACAGACAGTCGAGAGACAGACAGGTGAGTCCACTGGAACCTGTGCAGGTACTGTGAGAGACAGACAGGTGAGTCCACTGGAACCTGTGCAGGTACTGAGAGAGACAGACAGGTGAGAGACAGACAGGTGAGTCCACTAGAACCTGTGCAGGTACTGAGAGAGACAGACAGGTGAGTCCACTGGAACCTGTGCAGGTACTGAGAGAGACAGACAGGTGAGAGACAGACAGGTGAGTCCACTGGAACCTGTGCAGGTACTGAGAGAGACAGACAGGTGAGAGACAGACAGGTGAGTCCACTGGAACCTGTGCAGGTACTGAGAGAGACAGACAGGTGAGAGACAGACAGGTGAGTCCACTGGAACCTGTGCAGGTACTGAGAGAGACAGACAGGTGAGTCCACTGGAACCTGTGCAGGTACTGAGAGAGACAGACAGGTGAGTCCACTGGAACCTGTGCAGGTACTGAGAGAGACAGACAGGTGAGAGACAGACAGGTGAGTCCACTGGAACCTGTGCAGGTACTGTGAGAGACAGACAGGTGAGTCCACTAGAACCTGTGCAGGTACTGAGAGAGACAGACAGGTGAGTCCACTGGAACCTGTGCAGGTACTGAGAGAGACAGACAGGTGAGTCCACTGGAACCTGTGCAGGTACTGAGAGAGACAGACAGGTGAGTCCACTGGAACCTGTGCAGGTACTGAGAGAGACAGACAGGTGAGTCCACTGGAACCTGTGCAGGTACTGAGAGAGACAGACAGGTGAGAGACAGACAGGTAAGTCCACTGGAACCTGTGTAGGTACTGAGAGAGACAGACAGGTGAGTCCACTGGAACCTGTGCAGGTACTGAGAGAGACAGACAGGTGAGAGACAGACAGGTAAGTCCACTGGAACCTGTGTAGGTACTGAGAGAGACAGACAGGTGAGTCCACTGGAACCTGTGCAGGTACTGTGAGAGACAGACAGGTGAGTCCACTGGAACCTGTGCAGGTACTGAGAGAGACAGACAGGTGAGAGACAGACAGGTGAGTCCACTAGAACCTGTGCAGGTACTGAGAGAGACAGACAGGTGAGTCCACTGGAACCTGTGCAGGTACTGAGAGAGACAGACAGGTGAGAGACAGACAGGTGAGTCCACTGGAACCTGTGCAGGTACTGAGAGAGACAGACAGGTGAGTCCACTGGAACCTGTGCAGGTACTGAGAGAGATAGACAGGTGAGAGACAGACAGGTGAGTCCACTGGAACCTGTGCAGGTACTGAGAGAGACAGACAGGTGAGAGACAGACAGGTGAGTCCACTAGAACCTGTGCAGGTACTGAGAGAGACAGACAGGTGAGTCCACTAGAACCTGTGCAGGTACTGAGAGAGATAGACAGGTGAGAGACAGACAGGTGAGTCCACTGGAACCTGTGCAGGTACTGAGAGAGACAGACAGGTGAGAGACAGACAGGTGAGTCCACTAGAACCTGTGCAGGTACTGAGAGAGACAGACAGGTGAGAGACAGACAGGTGAGTCCACTGGAACCTGTGCAGGTACTGAGAGAGACAGACAGGTGAGAGACAGACAGGTGAGTCCACTGGAACCTGTGCAGGTACTGAGAGAGACAGACAGGTGAGTCCACTGGAACCTGTGCAGGTACTGAGAGAGATAGACAGGTGAGAGACAGACAGGTGAGTCCACTGGAACCTGTGCAGGTACTGTGAGAGACAGACAGGTGAGTCCACTGGAACCTGTGCAGGTACTGAGAGAGATAGACAGGTGAGAGACAGACAGGTGAGTCCACTGGAACCTGTGCAGGTACTGAGAGAGACAGACAGGTGAGAGACAGACAGGTGAGTCCACTGGAACCTGTGCAGGTACTGAGAGAGACAGACAGGTGAGAGACAGACAGGTGAAGTCCACTGGAACCTGTGCAGGTACTGAGAGAGACAGACAGGTGAGTCCACTGGAACCTGTGCAGGTACTGAGAGAGACAGACAGGTGAGAGACAGACAGGTGAGTCCACTGGAACCTGTGCAGGTACTGAGAGAGACAGACAGGTGAGAGACAGACAGGTGAGTCCACTGGAACCTGTGCAGGTACTGAGAGAGACAGACAGGTGAGTCCACTGGAACCTGTGCAGGTACTGAGAGAGACAGACAGGTGAGTCCACTGGAACCTGTGCAGGTACTGAGAGAGACAGACAGGTGAGTCCACTGGAACCTGTGCAGGTACTGAGAGAGACAGACAGGTGAGTCCACTGGAACCTGTGCAGGTACTGAGAGAGACAGACAGGTGAGTCCACTGGAACCTGTGCAGGTACTGAGAGAGACAGACAGGTGAGTCCACTGGAACCTGTGCAGGTACTGAGAGAGACAGACAGGTGAGTCCACTGGAACCTGTGCAGGTACTGAGAGAGACAGACAGGTGAGTCCACTGGAACCTGTGCAGGTACTGAGAGAGACAGACAGGTAGAGACAAATAGGTCACCTTGATGCACCACAGGTCTGAGGCGAAGCGTTGGCGCTTCCTGGTCCCCATGGGCGTGTTGTGCAGCGACGCAGCGACCAGCTTGGCTCTGCGCTTGTCTCTGAACTCGACCCAGCCTTCAGTGAAGTCGCAGCGCCGGGACCCCCCCTTAGCGCCTCCCTTCCTCTTCTTAGTGCTCACCTGCCCGTCTGGAAGTACACAGAAACACATGTATAAGTACACAGAAACACATGTATAAGTACACAGAAACACATGTATAAGTATACATGAATAAGTACACAGAAACACATGTATAAGTACACATGAATACGTACACAGAAACACATGATATGTATAAGTACCCTCTGGCTGTAGAAAGATGTGTATACAGTGATTCCCGCAGAAATGAAATATACTTTGGGGGAACGACTCGGGGGGGGGGGGGGGGGGGGGGGGGGGGGGGGGGTGCGTGCCCCCCCCCCCCGTGAAAAATGTTGAGATTTTTTTTCTCAATTCCTGCATTCTAGTGAATTTTCATAGTAACACTGCACTTCAGACAACCTACAACTGGTGATGGTGTCTAGGTCTTTAAGTGTTAAACAGCTAAGAGCAGTCACTGCTGTTTTTTGTGGTCTTCTTTCACACACACATCTTACCCAAGTGTGTATGAACATCCTCACAAACTAACAAAGAACATGATCTATATCAAATTTAAGACAGAAAACTCCACACTGGTATCTGATCGTTAATCACCGGATAACTTTATTTTAACTATATACAAACTGGTGAAATTTAGGAGTGGGGCTAGTCCTGGTGGGCTACCCAGGCTGAGTGACAAGGTGGCATCCAGGAAACTGAAATTTGCAGGTCACTGCCATCGACACCAGGAACTTCCAGCTGGCAAGTTAGTACTCTGGGAGCCAACACACGGGCACCGACCAAGAGGGCGCCCCACGCCAACATACGTGGAGGTGCTGAGGAAGGATGTGGGGGTGGAAAGCTCCACAGAGCTGGCCGGGTGTATGGAGGACCGTGAGGATTGGCGAACCCGTTGGCAAACTCGTCTAAGGACGACCTAGTAGTAGTAGTCCTTGATTGGCTCAAGTTCACACCTTTTTAGGGGCGGGGCTAGTGATGTTGTCCCGGGGATGCTTAGGAGTTGATAAAGGAGATAATCCCACTGACGTCATCATTTGATTCCAAAAGTGGGTCTGGACTCGCGCCCATAGAGGCTGTTTACCAGTATAATGGCTCCCCCCAAAGTATAATTTATGGGTGGCTCCCCCCAAAGTATAATTTATGGTTTTTTAAGTTTTTTTTACTCACTGAGCACTCATTGCCACCAATGCAAATGCAAATGAGTGCTCACTGAGTAAAAAAAAACAAAAAACACACAAATTATACTTTGGGGGGAGCCATTATACTTTGGGGGCCCCCCAAAGTATTAACATGCTGTGGGAATCACTGCTATATATGTGTGTATTAGTACACAGAGTGTGTATAAGTACTCTTTGGCTGCAGGAAGATGTGTATATATGTGTGTATTAGTACACAGAGTGTGTATAAGTACCCTCTGGCTGCAGGAAGATGCGGCCCACCTCCCCATAGGCTGACAGCAGGTTCCTCACGTGTCGGGGGCGGAGCCTCGGAGGGATGTGTCCCAGGTAGAGAATACCTGGGACACACTTCCTGTCTCCGGCTGCTTCCTGATTGGTCTGCTTCTTCATCCCTGAAACACCTTCATCACCACCATCTTTATCCTTATGCTCTTCATCACCTGAGATCTCTTCATCACCTGAGACCTCTTCATCACCTGAGACCTCTTCATCACCTGAGACCTCTTCATCACCTGAGACCTCCTCCTCCTCTTCCTCTCTGGTGGATGTAGTCGTCCTCTCCTCCTCCTCCTCCTCCTCCTCCTCCTCTTCCTCTCTGGTGGATGTAGTCGTCCTCTCCTCCTCCTCCTCTCTGGTGGATGTAGTCGTCCTCCTCTCCTCCTCCTCCTCCTCCTCCTCCTCCTCTCTCCTCTCCATCATGGCGTGTTGTGTTCACTGAAAGTCAGACAGCAGAGTTTTGGTTGAGCATCAAACTGATGTGTATTTTAACATGTTTCTGTGTGTTTCTGTGTGTCAAAATGAAAGACAGCCCACACACCTATCAATCATCAAACCGTGGGGTCTTAATTCATTACGTGTTGATTTCCATCACAGGGGGGAATACTTCAGGAAAGTCGACGGAGGGGGGGGGGCTAGTGGAATACTTCAGGAAAGTCGACGGGGGGGGGGGGGGCTAGTGGAATACTTCAGGAAAGTCGACGGGGGGGGGGGGGGGGCTAGTGGAATACTTCAGGAAAGTCGACGGGGGGGGGGGGCTAGTGGAGTACTTCAGGAAAGTCGACGGGGGGGGCTAGTGGAGTACTTCAGGAAAGTCGACGGGGGGGGGGGGCTAGTGGAGTACTTCAGGAAAGTCGACGGGGGGGGGGGCTAGTGGAGTACTTCAGGAAAGTCGACGGGGGGGGGGCTAGTGGAGCACTTCAGGAAAGTCGACGGGGGGGGGGGGGGGGGGGGCTAGTGGAGTACTTCAGGAAAGTCGACGGGGGGCTAGTGGAGTACTTCAGGAAAGTCGACGGGGGGGGCTAGTGGAGTACTTCAGGAAAGTCGATGGGGGGGGGGGGGGCTAGTGGAGTACTTCAGGAAAGTCGACGGGGGGGCTAGTGGAGTACTTCAGGAAAGTCGACGGGGGGGGGCTAGTGGAGTACTTCAGGAAAGTCGACGGGGGGGGGGCTAGTGGAGTACTTCAGGAAAGTCGACGGGGGGGGGGGCTAGTGGAGTACTTCAGGAAAGTCGACGGGGGGGGGGGGCTAGTGGAGCACTTCAGGAAAGTCGACGGGGGGGGGGCTAGTGGAGTACTTCAGGAAAGTCGACGGGGGGGGGGGGGGGGGCTAGTGGAGTACCTCGGGAAAGTCAACGGGGGCGGGGGGCTAGTGGAGTACTTCGGGAAAGTCGACGGGGGGGGGGGGGGGGGGGGGGGGGCTAGTGGAGTACTTCAGGAAAGTCAACGGGGGCGGGGGGCTAGTGGAGTACTTCGGGAAAGTCGACGGGGGGGGGGGGGGGCTAGTGGAGTACTTCGGGAAAGTCAACGGGGGGGGGAATAGTGCAGTACTTCGTGACCACAGAGTGTGAACGTTGTGATCAGCTCTTTTAGCGCAGTTCTCCAGTGAAGGGGGGGGAGTCTCCCTCCGCAGCCGGTTGGCGTACTTTTGGTACAGTTCCGTTGTACAGACCGACGTTAACAGCAGCCCTGTCTGTGCACACGGAGACCGACTCTGTCGTCCGGTGATCTAACCGCCTTCTGGAAAAGCTTCACAAGTACCTCGGTATGCAAATGCACTTTGTGACACAAGTGACGGTACGCATTTCAGATTACGCACATAACCTGCGTACCAGTTATGTGTTACTTGTACTACAACAAAAGTACTCTCCGTCAGGACTTCCTGCAACAACACCACGCCCCGTTAACTTGATTATGATTGGCCAGAAGACATTATGAAAGATGTTCTATTGAGAAGACGATCACTACGTGACAAAAGTTTTCAAAACCGTTTCTGGTCTTAGGTATTTCCAGACAAGTGGCTACTGAAATCAATCTTACTAACTGCTGTCTGTGCAATTTACTCCGCACGAGTTGGCGGACTTTACTTAACTTTCTTTAACATCATTTTTCATGGTGGGGCTAAGCCATTTCTTGGTATGGGTGTAGCCTACCCCAGCCATACACTGGCGTTGCCACTGGTGGGATGTATGGGGCGGGCCATTCTGCACATGCGTTACATGCGTTAAATATTTGAACGCAATTAATTCAAAAAATTAATTACCGATCAGCCTGGAGTGTAAACACCAAGCTGACTAATCTACCGGCACAATGTTTCTCTGGTGTCGGAATGTCTCGCGATGTTGGTCAATTCTTAAAAAACAAAACACCATTTCATTTCGGGTTAAAATGAGTTGTTATCTACCTGGAGCTATCTGCAGCAGCTAGCATCTACCTGGAGCTAACTGCAGCAGCTATCATCTACCTGGAGCTATATGCAGCAGCTAGCATCTACCTGGAGCTATCAGCAGCAGCTCGCATCTACCTGGAGCTATCTGCAGCAGCTAGCATCTACCTGGAGCTATATGCAGCAGCTAGCATCTACCTGGAGCTAACTGCAGCAGCTAGCATCTACCTGGAGCTCTCAGCAGCAGCTAGCATCTACCTGGAGCTATCAGCAGCAGCTAGCATCTACCTGGAGCTAACTGCAGCAGCTAGCATCTACCTGGAGCTATCAGCAGCAGCTAGCATCTACCTGGAGCTATCAGCAGCAGCTAGCATCTACCTGGAGCTAACTGCGGCAGCTAGCATCTACCTGGAGCTAACTGCGACAGCTAGCATCAACCTGGAGCTATCTGCAGCAGCTAGCATCTACCTGGAGCTATCTGCAGCAGCTAGCATCTACCTGGAGCTATCTGCAGCAGCTAGCATCTACCTGGAGCTAACTGCAGCAGCTATCATCTACCTGGAGCTATATGCAGCAGCTAGCATCTACATGCAGCAGCTAGCATCTACCTGGAGCTATCAGCAGCAGCTCGCATCTACCTGGAGCTATCTGCAGCAGCTAGCATCTACCTGGAGCTATATGCAGCAGCTAGCATCTACCTGGAGCTAACTGCAGCAGCTAGCATCTACCTGGAGCTCTCAGCAGCAGCTAGCATCTACCTGGAGCTATCAGCAGCAGCTAGCATCTACCTGGAGCTAACTGCAGCAGCTAGCATCTACCTGGAGCTATCAGCAGCAGCTAGCATCTACCTGGAGCTATCAGCAGCAGCTAGCATCTACCTGGAGCTAACTGCGGCAGCTAGCATCTACCTGGAGCTATCAGCAGCAGCTAGCATCTACCTGGAGCTAACTGCGGCAGCTAGCATCTACCTGGAGCTAACTGCAGCAGCTAGCATCTACCTGGAGCTATCATCACCAGCTAGCATCTACCTGGAGCTATCAGCAGCAGCTAGCATCTACCTGGAGCTAACTGCAGCAGCTAGCATCTACCTGGAGCTATCAGCAGCAGCTAGCATCTACCTGGAGCTATCAGCAGCAGCTAGCATCTACCTGGAGCTAACTGCGGCAGCTAGCATCAACCTGGAGCTATCTGCAGCAGCTAGCATCTACCTGGAGCTATCTGCAGCAGCTAGCATCTACCTGGAGCTATCTGCAGCAGCTAGCATCTACCTGGAGCTATATGCAGCAGCTAGCATCTACCTGGAGCTATATGCAGCAGCTAGCATCTACCTGGAGCTATCTGCAGCAGCTAGCATCTACCTGGAGCTATCTGCAGCAGCTAGCATCTACCTGGAGCTAACTGCAGCAGCTATCATCTACCTGGAGCTATATGCAGCAGCTAGCATCTACCTGGAGCTATCAGCAGCAGCTCGCATCTACCTGGAGCTATCTGCAGCAGCTAGCATCTACCTGGAGCTATATGCAGCAGCGAGCATCTACCTGGAGCTAACTGCAGCAGCTAGCATCTACCTGGAGCTCTCAGCAGCAGCTAGCATCTACCTGGAGCTATCAGCAGCAGCTAGCATCTACCTGGAGCTAACTGCAGCAGCTAGCATCTACCTGGAGCTATCAGCAGCAGCTAGCATCTACCTGGAGCTATCAGCAGCAGCTAGCATCTACCTGGAGCTAACTGCGGCAGCTAGCATCTACCTGGAGCTAACTGCGGCAGCTAGCATCAACCTGGAGCTATCTGCAGCAGCTAGCATCTACCTGGAGCTATCTGCAGCAGCTAGCATCTACCTGGAGCTATCATCACCAGCAAGCATCTACCTGGAGCTATCAGCAGCAGCTAGCATCTACCTGGAGCTATCTGCAGCAGCTAGCATCTACCTAGAGCTAACTGCAGCAGCTAGCATCTACCTGGAGCTATCTGCAGCAGCTAGCATCTACCTGGAGCTATCTGCAGCAGCTAGCATCTACCTGGAGCTATCTGCAGCAGCTAGCATCTACCTGGAGCTATCTGCAGCAGCTAGCATCTACCTGGAGATATCAGCAGCAGCTAGCATCTACCTGGAGCTATATGCAGCAGCTAGCATCTACCTGGAGCTATCTGCAGCAGCTAGCATCTACCTGGAGCTAACTGCAGCAGCTAGCATCTACCTGGAGCTATATACAGCAGCTAGCATCTACCTGGAGCTATATGCAGCAGCTAGCATCTACCTGGAGCTATATGCAGCAGCTAGCATCTACCTGGAGCTATATGCATCAGCTAGCATCTACCTGGAGCTAACTGCAGCAGCTAGCATCTACCTGGAGCTATCATCACCAGCTAGCATCTACCTGGAGCTATCTGCAGCAGCTAGCATCTACCTGGAGCTATATGCAGCAGCTAGCATCTACCTGGAGCTATATGCAGCAGCTAGCATCTACCTGGAGCTATATGCAGCAGCTAGCATCTACCTGGAGCTATCATCACCAGCTAGCATCTACCTGGAGCTATCTGCAGCAGCTAGCATCTACCTGGAGCTATCTGCAGCAGCTAGCATCTACCTGGAGCTAACTGCAGCAGCTAGCATCTACCTGGAGCTATCTGCAGCAGCTAGCATCTACCTGGAGCTATCATCACCAGCTAGCATCTACCTGGAGCTATCTGCAGCAGCTAGCATCTACCTGGAGCTATCATCACCAGCTAGCATCTACCTGGAGCTATCAGCAGCAGCTAGCATCTACCTGGAGCTAACTGCAGCAGCTAGCATCTACCTGGAGCTATCTGCAGCAGCTAGCATCTACCTGGAGCTCTCACCAAGCAAAGAAGGAAAACCAGAGGAGGATCTGGTCTCTCTTGCTCAGGTCACAGAGTTACTAAATCAGCAGAAAGACATGTTTACTGCACTCTTACAGCAGCAACAGGAGAAGTGCAGAGGCTTTGTTCAAATGGTTAAGGATTCCACTAACACGAGGCTGGGTGCCATTACAAGGGAGGTTCAGGAAATCAGGTCTAGCATTCAATTGA